CTGATACCACGGATGATGAAACCCGATCTGATTAAGTCTCTAAACTTACATGATTTGCAAGGAGAGCTGTTTGTGTGCTCCACAATCCTGGTTTCATCTATTCTCAGTTTTAAAGGTCCCCAAGGATATTTGATGTTCGGCCGCATTTCAAAACGACCCTCTTTTCCAAAGTAATCACCAATAACCTATGTCGAAGGCAAAAAAAAAAAAAAAGAAGAAAAGAAAAGAAGAAAAGAAAAGGAACACAAAAAGAAAACAAATACACAAACTGAAAGGTCAAAGTGATTTGTTTCCAAAGGAGGCACAGGTGGGGCTCCCCTCTCCTTCACACGACTGTAAACAGTGTGTTTCTGAGGACTGTAGATCAAGATTTGCAGTTGCCAATGGTGCTCTGAAGATGAGCCTAATTTAGGGAAAACTGGCTCCCCATGGCAGGGAAACTTCATACAGAAAGCAAGAATCTCGGAATTCAGGTCTTCTCCCATGCTCATCAGAGAGGGTGCTGCTCCACCCTTCTGCCACGAGGTCAGCCGTTTGTCAGGCCCAAGTGACTTTCAGGGAAGTGTGAGATCAGAACGAGTCTTATACTCAGGCTAAGCATATGTGCAGCCCACGCCACCCACTTAGCTTGGCCAATAATTCAAGCATTGAAGAGCATCTTTAGGAACTTCCCATTTCACCCTCCTCTGGTTGGAAGACTATTCCCCATCCTGACTTCCGGGCTTACACTCTCCTCCCTGATGAATTTACTTTAATTTCACCCCCACTTCCAGGCTGACCGCCTCAGTTGGTTCCCTTGGCCCCTGAAAAAATAATATTCTTTACGGCTCAGTGTGAGGTTCACCCGCAGTTTCTGGTTTAAACGACTGTTTCATCAGCTACCAGAGCTCTGATCTAGAAGTATCTTCACACCCAGGCTCTCAGGCTTCAGTTCTGCTCCTGGGGGGCCTGTGACCTCCCCTCCCCACTATCTCCTGAAGTGCCCAGCAAGCACTCACAGGCTATTTGATATCCGAGTAAAAGACTCCTAGATCATCACCAAAATCGAACAGTCACTGGCACATCCTGAGCACTTGCCAGGTACTTGACGCACCTTCACCCCCGAATCCCCACAACAACCCCATCTAGCACAGACTATAACGATCCACCCTTAACAGAGGGGGAGACTCGCATATACATCAGATCCAGCCCATCAAAGGGTGAAAAAATAGTGCTTTAAATGTAGCAAGGGCCAGGTGCTGCTGGCTCGGCCCCTCCCACAGAGGCCAGGTATGTGAGAATTGCGAGAAAAACAGCTAGTCCCTTGTGCTGGGACACATGAAATGTTACAGGAACATCAACCCTGGGTCGGAGCCATCAGAGAAGCACATAGGTAGTGCCATTATTGGACCTGAAACACTGCATATTTGTATAATCTTTATATATTTATCATGCAAAGTTTCGATAGTACTTCTCTCAGTTCCAACTTCTTTGATACTCACAAGAATCGTGTGAGATCGGCAAGGAAGAGATTATGATTCCCTCATGACAGCCAAGGAAGCTGAGGCAGCGAGCTCGCACCCCAGACAGTGTCAGAGACTCATTTCGTGTCCTGGGCACTGTCTTCTCTTCCTGATGCAATCCTGAAACTCCATCATCTTCTGAGATACTAATGCATGTCCAGTTTGTAATCACCACCCACCAAAAAAAATTTTTTTTTCAAATTTTAAGGGAGGAAATAAATACACAATTTCACTTTACATCTCTTATCCGACCCCTGTCCTGCTTCTCAGGACTGAGGTGTGAGTCTTGGCCACTTGAAAAGCAGGATCTCCCCACTTAGGATAAACATGGAGCCATTTCCTGAAGTCTTTCCTGGTACCCTCAACCAGAAGGAAGCCCCCCCTTGGAAACTCCCAGTGTTCAGCTCATTGGTATTTGGAGGTTGCTCTGGGGACAGCAGTTGGGACATCAGGACAGACACATTCCTTGGAATCTCAACAGGCAGAAGGAGCAGCTGGGGCAGAAGTCCCGTGTGCTTACCTCCTGGGTGCCCACTTCCGTGTCGGTCATGGCGATCACGGAGAAATCCCCGTACCGGTCTCCGTTGGCATCTATGGACACCTGCCCAGCAATACCTAGAGGATGAGATGTGAAGAACTCCAGTTGGTTCCTTAAAATACCTCCATCCGCCAACAAAAACAAGAAAATGAATTGACAGGATTTTTTTAAACAAACTCATGCCACAGGGAATCTCATCAGACTCGGAGCATTTTTGTTGGCATTTGGAAAGACATTGTAATTTCATCTGTGTCTGCATTCCTAAATTCTTAACATTTCTCCACTTGAAAATGAAAAGAAAAAGAAACAAATGACCTTCTTTGCAGAATATGCTAAAGAAAAAAAGAAAAGATTAAGGTTAATCCTGAAAGCAGTATGCTTATGCCAGAGTTTTGTATTAATTAAGAAAAAATAGAGTGAGAAATGGAGGTGTAGCTCATTCCTAGACTTGTCATGGGTTCACATTATCATTGGACAAACCTTATAATAGAAAACCCATGCCAGGCCCGGGACTCAATGAATGTGTTTTCCCTATGGGCTCCTTGGACGCACCAGAGGGCAGAGGGCCTGCTTCCCAGGTCGCAGGAGTCTTCTCTCTCTTAGGTTCATTCATTCATTGTTGCTTTTGGGGTTTGGGTTTTCTTTTCCAGCTACACTGAGATATAACTGACACGCATCACTGTACGGGGTTCCAGTGTGCAGCATAAAGCTTTGACTTGCAGTTACTGTGAAGTGAGTTTAGTTGCCGCGCATCATCTCACAGGCATACGATAAATCATTCGTTGTTTATCCAGCAATTACTAGAGGCTGAATTTAATGCAGCAGCTGAGGCAAAGATGAACTGGACACAGTGTCTGCTCAGAAGAGGGGCGCCTGGACTAGCGATTTAATCTCATTGGCACTGAAATCCAACGGCCCGCATCTGAATCCCAGATTTCACATTCAGGAGCTCTGTGCCCCTGGGCGGGGATTTAGCCCTCTGAGCCTCAGTCTCCAGGACTATAGACGAGGCATCCCAGTACTTCCCTGCCAAGGGGCTGCTGAAGAGATTAAGTGAGCTGAGACAGGTAAAGTACTTTAAGAGAAGTCAGTTGTTTTCTTCTTTTGTTATTACTTCTATTGCTATGCCAGGCATCTGGGAGAGGACATCTGACCGTGCCCAGGCCACTCGGAGGAGGAGGAGCTGGCACATCTAGGTGGGGACTCCGGGAGGCCTCGGTGAAAGAGCAGGTCTTTGATAGGAATGCTGGTGAAGCCTACGATTTGGACAAACAGCCATCAGAGTGTGGGAGTACCCTCAGCAGAAAGGGAGTCTTGCTTGCACTTACAAAGGCTGAAAGGAACCAAAGGGATGATGAGGTTTGGGGGGAAGTCACCCGCGTGTCTGGAAGAGAGCCGTGAGATGTAAGGGTGGAATGGCTGGAACGAAGTGGCCAGAGCATGGGGAGCCTTGAGTGTCACTCAGAGGGTTTGCATTTGTTGTGGCTGCAATGGTGGCTTACAGCAGCTAACTGATAAAAGCAAATTTTATATTTATATATATATATTTATATATAAATAAATATATATTTTTATATATATATTTCATTACTTGATATTAAATATGTTTTCATTGTAATTTTCATTAAGTAAGAGAATGCCTATGTCAGCCACATTCGAATTATTTGTTTTCTTTCATTTTTAACTGTGGCAGAGTTCAGTGTAATTCGTAACTGGCACTTCTATTGGCTTGGTTCTCTCCAGAAGCAAAACAAATGTCTGGGAAAAGGGATCCCAGGGGAAAGTTCCATCCTCTAGTGTGGTCTGGGGAGAGCAAGTATGTGGGTTTACTGTCCTTTGGGCTGTGGTTTGAAGGCCCACTGATTTTTTCAGACCTTGGTCTACTTTGCCGGAAACAGAATGGAGCAACTATTCATCTTGATTTTTTTCTTTTGTCTTCTTAATATAGACTGGTTACAAAGGAGACACCTATCTCAAGCTGGATTATCCTTGACACCCAATACAACTTTCAAGTAATAAATGCCATTTTTCAAAAAAAATATATGTTTACCTCCAAACACATGAGCTGCCCAAAACCATCTGCCGTTCTGTTCAGAGGTGTTTATGACGGTGTGTTCCGCTAAGTGTTTTGCAGAGTATTTTATAAGACAAGGTGGCCCTAGTAATCCAAGACCTCATTACACTTGAAGCTATTACAATTCTGCCAAGAAATGGGGTGTGAACCCTGAGGGTGGCCGATTAGCAAGTGAGACTTCACCTGAGAGTGCTGTACCTGAGGTGAGACTGTCGGGCTGACAGCAGAATTTTCCTGTACTTAAGTGATGAGACTTTCCACCCTCATTTCCACTGGCCTGTCGTGGAGCTCAAGGTTTGAGCTGCACCCCTCTGACCTCTCACACATACAGAAAATTCAGCTTCTTCCCAGGCCATTTATTGAAAGCCTTGAAAGTCAGTCGTAGGTTACACAGTAATAAAATCCAAATTTGTCAGATAACATCCAGAGTACTTTCCCTTGACAACTTAATGGTCACTTTTAGTGACTATTAAAATTTAAATTGTTTTTAATTATAGAAAGGTTAGGTTTTTTTTTTTTTAAATAGTTCTTTGCGGGGGCTGCCCTCAGATTATCATTGTTTAGCAAATAAAATGGACTCTCCAAACCATTCAAGGCCAAAACTTACCTTGGCTTCAGTTATCTTTCCATTTGGACAAATGAGGTTCTAAGTTTAGACTGAACTGTACAATTGACTGTTTGGGGACTCACTTCATAGTGCCTGTGTAGACCCGGCCCTAGAATTGAAGTGTCAGGTTGGCCTACGGGAAAATGCAGTCCATGCCCTCTAAATGAAACTGAGTTCCAGCCACTGTGGGCACCTGCCCTTCCCTTAACAACCTCCCTCAGAAGACCAAGAGCAAATGACCACACCACGCAGTGAGGGCCAGCTAAGGACGGGATGTGGCCCACCAAGATTGTGTCCACACACGTCGGTTTCTCGGTGTATTGAGCACAATTTCTGGGAAACTTGACGCTGTCCTAATATGCCCCTGAACTAGTCTGTTTGAGTCCAGTGTCTCTGCAGAAGCAGTCAGAGGTTGAGCAAGACAATCCTGGAGGCTTCTTTTATTTGTTCTCAGTCTACAATCTGTCTAAAGTTAGAGCAGATGTCACTCCAGTTTTGAGTAAGATGTGGCATCCACTAAAACCACCAAGAAGAAATGAAATCCACCAGTTGTCACCACCATATCTGCTACCCAGACAATTCTAGCTGGAGCCTGACCCCTCTGTACTGTCCTACCCTTTCTAACAACGAAGGGGAAGATGTGATGGAGTGGATGGGAGTCCCAAGTGAAAAATATGTGCCCCAAATCTAGACTTGGATATCTAAAGAAAGGCATTGCCCCCAGGGCATTAAAGGGCTCAAAGGAAGAGTTAGCTTGATGGAGAATTTAAAAAGCCTGTGTCAGTCATCAACTGGTCCAACCCCTTGAGCACAGGTGATGACGTAGAAGCCCAGAGGACTGAGTTACAGCCAGGGGCAGGGATGCATGTTCTCTGACCCCTGGTCATGACCTGTATGGTCAGTGGTTCTCAAGTGACACCCCTTAGCACACTACAGTTTATTCTCCACCTAGCCCCCATAAGGACCCCTTTTAAGGACTCAAGACAGATCCTGTCTCTCGAAATTCTCCAGTGGCTTTCCATCTCACTCAAGAAGGAACCCAAAGTCCTCAAGGCAGCTCCCAGGTCCACAGGCTTTGGCCCCCACTCCCTCCCTGACTTTGGCTCATATCGCACTGCGACTCACAAGCCTGGCCTCGGCCACACAGGCCCCCTCGGTCTCCCGGGGGTGCTCAGTGCTTTCCCACCAGATATGCCCAAGCTCTCTGCGTTTGCTGCTGCCTCTGGAATACTCTCTCCTAAACATCTATGTAATTCCTTTCACTTCCCTCAGGCCTCTACTCAACTGCCCCTTATCAGAGAGCCCTCCCCAGACCCTTCTGTTTAAGTCAGCAGTCCCACCACACCTTTCCCATCACTTTCTATCTCCTCATCCTGCTTTACTTTATATCCCCTGGAGTGGTGTATTTATTCGTTCATCTCCAGTTCCCCCCACCACTACAGTAGCTCGGAAGCTCAGCTGATTGCAGGAGATGTCTTGAGTTCACTGCTGAGTCTTCAGCACCTTGACAAGTGCCTGGAAGTAGCAAGTGCTTGGGAAGATTTGATGAATGAATGAATGAATGAGTGAATATGAAGAGCTCCAGCAGCTGGAACATCTCATACTGAGTCTCATGTTAATTTTTTTTTTTTGATTGATGGTGAGTTGGGAGGAAACCAGCACTCTACACACTGTTGGCACGAATATGCACTAGCAGATCTTTCTGGAGGATATCGGGCAATATCTAATGCACTTTAAAAGGCACCAACATACTTTTGGACCCAGATATCCCATGACTGAGAATGTTCCCTATTGGAAATAGACTCGTGAATATAGAAAACAAACTATGGTTACCAAAGGAGAAAGGGAGGGAGGGATAAATGAGGAGTTTGGGATTAACAGATACACACTACTATGTATAAAACAGATAAACAACAAGGACCTATTGTATAGCACAGGGAACTATATTCAAGTTCTTGTAATAAGAAAATTGATTGACTGTACACATTAGATTTGTGTACTTTTCATGTCTATGTTATACTTCAATAAAAAGGTTTTAAAAATGGAAAAAAAAAAAAGAATGTTCCCTGTTGGAAGTACTCACAAAAATTCATCAAGATATGTAAGGTACTCCTGGTAGCATTTTGCATAATTACAAAAACTGTGAACAACTGAAGTGTCCATGAATCAGAGGCTCCTTAAAGAAATTCTTGCACAGCCAAACAGTGGGAAAATATGGAACTGTCATTTTAAAATGTGCTGAATCTATGAGTGCCCATATGGAAAATTCTTCTACTTGACATGCAAGTGAAACAGCTAAGATGAAGAATGGCATTCATACTATGATCCTTTTGTGTAAATTTTTTAGATAAGATATACAATTGCATATGTGCTGGCAGAAGGCACCAAATATTTTTAGACTGAATCATAGAAAATTGTTAATAGCGATTACATTGGGGAGAGGGGACTAGGGTGGGAAGGAAAACTTTCACTTTTCATTTTGTACATTTTTGTATGGTTTAAATTTTCCAGCCAAGAATTGGCTCATTCTTGTACAGTTTTTAAATGTCAACAGAGGTTGCT